GCAGCAGCACCATCACCATCACCATCATCATCACCACCATCATCATCAACATCACCACCATCCTCATCACCATCACCAACACCACCACCATCATCACCATCATCATCAAAGGCATGGTCATCATCATCATCATCATCATCATCATCATCGCCATCATCCTCATAATCAAGCATTGTCATCATCAGCATCATGAGCATCACCATCACCATCATCATCATTGGTACTATCACCCCTAGCATCCTCATAATCATCAGCATCAGCATCATCATCACTATCATCATCACCATTTCCACCACCATCACCATCACCATCCTGATCATCATCATCATCATCATCATCATCATCATCATCATCATAATCTTCATCATCATCCTTATTATCCTCATCATCATCATCATCATCATCATCATCATCTCAACGCTATCCCGTGCCACACCCTGCAGCGTTCCACTTTTTGCTGTGTGGGCCGGGGGCCTGGGCAGCCAGGTCAGGGGCCGGGACGCAGTGGCACCCGGGCCTGAACGAAAGGAAAACATTTCAGCGCGCTGAGAGACGAAACACGGCGAGGGAGCGAACGGGGAGGGAGGGAAGGGGCGAGAGAACTGAGCCAGACGGTTTCGGAGGATAAACCCCCGCGGCACTCAATCGCTAATGAGATGACAAGTGAGACACGACCATCTCAACGCTATCCCGTGCCACACCCTGCAGCGTTTCACTTTTTGCTGTGTGGCCCGGGGGCCTAGGCAGCCAGGTCAGGGGCCGGGACGCAGTGGCACCCGGGCCTGAACGAAAGGAAAACATTTCAGCGCGCTGAGAGACGCCCGACTCCCGAACGGCAACGTGGCCCCCGGGGCGGACCATGAGGGCACACACCGCACCCGGGGCCGAACACTCAAACTTCATTAACTAACATTGACATCCTGCTGTAACCGATCCAATCTACCTGACATTGAATGATCCTGGCAAAAAACTGACAAAATGTCTTACAATATGGCTCGGCCCGTCGGGTCCAGAGCATGCCAGTGGACCGGTCAACGCCGGTCAAGACGACGTGACGCTTGCACGAGAAAGTACGCATCCCCCCCCGCCCACGGCAGAGACAAGGGGGCGAGGAAGGGGGATGGCGAGGGGCCCAACAGGTCACCCGGGTGCGTTTTCGCCACGGGGCCCCGAAAGAACACATGTCGAGCATATACGTCTTGCAATCGGGTTTGGAGAGCAGAGCGGCCACAGCCGGCGCCGCCCAGAGAAACGAAGCCCCAGGGTTCTCTAAATACACTGGGGTGGACAGGCGGCGACACAAGTGAATGACCTTAACTGTAAAACGCATCTGGGCATTTCCCGAGCGGACGGCCTGGAGGGATCTACCCGAGAGCCCCTGGAGCCCGAGAGGAAAGGCCGCGGACCTGAGAGAACACCAGGAGGTCCCGGGGGGGCCGCGCCGCGCCCGGCTCCAGGAGTCACACGGGGTTCCCAACCAGACGGCTCGCACAACTCGAGATTTGAGCCACCCCAGGACCATCTGCTGGACCTCGGGGCGGCCAAGATCATGCCAGGGCCGGCGACCCTGGTCAAAGTCCAGGGGAAGCACGGCCAGGCCGAGAGACGATATCCGGGCGGAAAGACCACCGGATCCCGCAAAGAGTTCCAGGAAAACAGTGCGAGCTTTCACTACGTGCCTCGGGGCCCTCATGCATCTTTTTAGGTCTTGAAAGAGCCTGCGGCAGACCGTGCAGGCGGAGGCGGGACGGCTGCCCCCCTCAGGAAGATCTCGGCCAGCGCCACGTCGACCGCCCGGCCGAAGTCCAGGGCCCCGGCGGGAAGCTTCGCCATCTCCGCCAGGATCCGCCCGGGCTTGGCGTACCGCAGGAACGACTGCGGGCTCGCCCAGCCCCCTCGCGCCTGGATCTCCAGGGCGGTCCGCCGGCGCGCCACGAGGTCGTCGGGGGCCCCGCCGTGCCGCAGCTGATATGGAGAGGCCGGGGCAAGGCCGAGCTCCTCCGCAGCCGCGCGCATCTTCTGTCCGAGGTCGCCTGGGGGGTAGCTCCACAGTCGGTCCTTCAGCGCCCGGCAGCGCCTCTTCAGGGCGAGGAGCGACGGGCCGAGGAAGCGGAAAGTGTCCAGAGGCACTGTCATGTCCCACATGCCCGTCTTGCTGGGCACCCCCATCTCCTCCGGGAAGAGCACCAGCGCCACGACGCCGCCGTTGCCGCTGCCCTCCGCGACGCCCTCGACGACCTGCAGCCCGACGAGGGAGTCCGCCTCCCCGGTCCTCATGTAGGCGCTGAAGCTCAGGATCATCGCCACGACGTGCTCCACCAGCTGCCACCGCAGGAGCACGCCGGCCAACGCGGCCACCACCAGCCACGGGAGGGGCTGGCGCGAGCGCCGCGGGACGCACTTGCCCCAGCCTGCCAGGGCCCGGGAGCAACGAGGGAGGCCCTCCGTCCCCCACCGGCCCAGGTTCGCCACAAAGAACTTCACCGCGGCCAGCAGCTTG